AATTCGGCACGAAGCGAATTCGGCGACCGGCCTTTCGCGAAATCTAAGAATTCCTTCGCTGCATAGGAGAAAGACACGCTGATTATATACAGCGACAAAGTGTACATTTTCCCTTCCGTGGGACTTTTGAAATCGCAGTAACCACATATTATGTATTTCCCTTCTCGTTATTTTTGCGCTGATCGGATGGAAAGGCCCAATTTGCAATTCTTTTTTATTTCCTGCCCGATAACTCGCAAAATTGCGTCGTTGACGTTGTTAATTGGGTTGAGTTTACGTTACAATGTGACGCTGATTTTTACACACGTCATCTATCGTGGTAAGATCCCTCAGGGAATTTTTGTGTACAATACGTCTCGACTGCGCGATGATATCTTTCCGCATTCCCGGGATGACGCGCGTGCGCACTATCGTTTGACACACATTTCGTGCAGAGCGACGACGCGAAAGAGATCCCCAAAATAATTTATGAACCGAATTAAATTACATGATTCATTTATTGGCTAGGGGTTAGCCAAAAGACAAGCATACACTGTAAAAAAAGTCTTGTGTCTATGTACCACATTGTTAGTAAAATTACAATGTCCGAAATTGTCAAAATACCAACCAAAAAGTACTAGACACCAACCATTGCAATTATACTACGTTGGACGTAGGTCTTTTTATTTCCAACGCCCGGCGTAGTAAATTTACCATGATGAGCTTAGTAAATTTACTACTTGTATTGTTTAGTTTTACAAATCTCGTAGTAATATTACTATGTTGACTGTACAGTTAATGTAGGATTTTATATTTACAAAACGATTATTTACAACTTCAATACGGAAAATAAACATGTATAAATTATTTCTTTATATTCATCTAAAACTTCCTTAATAGAAATAAAAGTCGTGTTAACACTGTTTGTTGTTTTAGCAAAAGTAAAATACTCCATCATGGCAGACATTACAATTTATTACTGTAGTAAATTTACCATTCTTATTGTAAATATATTAAGTCCAGAGTAGGTCTTTCCATTTCCAACACCCATCGTAGTATTTATACTATTGATAGTTTTTACAGTGTATGCTTGATTCAAGAATAAAGCCATCAGGATCTACATTATTGCACAACACGTACATATACATTTCAAGCTTATAGATATTCAAGCGCGTAAATTATATACGAAAAAGGATAAAAGCATTGCAATCCAAAGCTTACGATGGCAAAGACAACAAATAAGATGCAAGCAGTGGTACGATAACATTAGTAGTATCGGAAATAAAAAGTTTAAAGATTCAACAATGAGATCACTACTTAAACTAAATCGCGGTTAAGTAGTCCGTAAAGGAGTTTTTCGACAAAAAATGGTCCTTCAAACTAAGTCCGTACATGTAAAAACTCCTTTCTAAAAGCTGCATCCATAAAATAATCGACCCGAGCTGAGAATACAATATGGTCAAGGTGACTTACCCTCTTGTAAGCAAATCGTTCAAGGATCTTCAATCTGATGCAGATCATAAAACATAAGCCCTGTCCTTAATACAGAGGCCAAAAAGTACACAGCAAGAAATGTTGATCGAATTTCAAATGTTGTCAGGTTAAATCCTTGGTAGGTAGGCATGATATGATCAGATTTGTTAATGCCAATCACAAACCGAAGAGCAGAATTCATGCACCTACTCGGTTTTACTGTTAATGCACTTGATAGTCCCGGAAAAAAAGCTGGGTAGTAATCCTTCAAACTATAATTCCTTCAAAAGCACACTCTTAGACTTAGTGGAAGAAAGTGCCAGAGCTCAAAAAAATTTGCTACCAATACCAGCGACATACAGTCAGTCTAAATATTAGTAGCAAGTATGTCAACTCTTTTTTTTTTGTTACTTAATATCTTATACAACTTGGTGAGAGAGTTTAGGTTTGGAATACGCGAGTACTCTACCAAACAGGATGTGAATTTTCAGGATTTGCATACAACCCATTGAAATCAGTCCAATGACTAACGTTGTTTATAGAACATCATTAGCTCTTACGGCGATGAAATGTGATTCAGCCAGTGAGCCGTGCATATGAAAACAAAAATCATCTTTCTGTACAAGCAGATCGAATCAGGATACCTGCTTGTACAGCTACAGACGATGTTTTTGCTCAATCAATCGGTGTACCGGCGGGTGTATCTGAGAATCTGTGCTTGCTTTCACGCTTTTTTTTCACAAAGTCGATAATCCAACCATCACTGCTGCATCAGACAAAATTATCCACCATATGGACGAAAGACTTGGCTGTGATCGTATATACTTCGATGGAGGTGCGAATAACTTTATCAGAAAATATGGACAACAGCGAGAGAACGATTAATTGTATACTTATTATGAAAGGATGATAGGTATATACATGTTTGACGCGGTAGACTAGTAATAATAATAATCTCCGTCGAATTATTCAATGTACAGCCAAAAACGAGCCGAACAAAAGGAAATGGCCACGGGTCAAAGACCGGCCTATTATTATTCTATTATTCTAGCGCAAGTGGCATAGATGTGCCTCGTGTGGTCTCTGTGTGCTCGTTATGATGTCGGGCTAATCGAGATAAAGGTCGGCACACACACAAACACTCATGCCGAGCTAGATCGCATAAACAGTGGAGTCACTGGCGCAGACATAACAGGTTCCAAGAGAAAGAGAGAGAGAGGAATCGAATTCTTTAACCCAATTTTCGCGAGGTCCACGTGCCGCACGGACCATCCACTGCGGCTATATAGGTACCTACAACGTGCAATTATACCGAGGGTGGCCAGATTTATGGGTCTCGCCGGAGAGCCGGAAGCCGCTAGCTTTTACTACGTCTGGGCTCTCTCTCTCTCTGTCTATTGGATCACGCGTTCGTTGTATTACCTATCCAGTTTGGCCTTCAAACGGGATATTAATAATTTCGAGTTTATTGTCGCTCTGTTTTGTTATTCTCACCGGCGGGGCGAAGAGTACCTTGCAACGGACGACAATCAATCGGCTCGTGAAATTTAATCGTTTTTTGACTCCTCGAGGATAACCAAAAAATACCATACCCATCCATACAGACGCGCCGGTGTAGGTTACAAGCATGAAAAAAAAAAAAAAAAGATGTAACGAGAGAAAAGGGAGAAAGAGAGAGAGAGCGCCCATATTATATATGAGTAGGAACCAGAGTCGGTGCGCGAAATCGATCCGCTCTCGCGGCCAAGGAAGATCATCGATTACGTTCCGTCGAAAGGACCGTCACACGCTGCAGAATCCATAAGCTGGAGTTGCCAGAGCATCGGGGTCCACGGTAGCGCGTGTGCGTATACGTTATGTTACACACACCATCCCAGACCAATCAAACGAAAGCACACCCATCCCTCCACTCCCACCCACCTTGTATAAATAAACACGCGGCCGCTCATCTCTGGCATACCTACTTCCTCGGGCTCTCTTTCTCTCCGGACGAGCCTCCGCACGTGTACACGTATATCTATTGCAGCCGTGTATAATGTACCACATATTGTATATGTACACAGACACGTTATGTGCGTCGTCTCCGAGTGTGCATATATATAATATACAACATGTGAGCAGAGGTTGTGAGTGTGTGTGTGTTTTATTAAAAGTGATACATTACGATTCAAGAGATCATATCTTGCGGATCGTCTAGACGGCGCGAAGTGAGAGAAGGGACGGTCTATAAAGTCCGCGCCCCTCCGGCCACGCGCGTTACAACACAACTCGCAACACACGCATCGTCCCTCTTTCTCTTTCTCTTTTTGCGTGTATACCCTGTACCCTGTTCGCGTCTCGTCTCGCGCGTATACCTTTCTGCTTCTCTCTCCGCGCACACTCGTTGTTGTACCATAACGTATACTATATCCTTTGACTGTCTTCCTTTTCGCCGCCGGCGTCGCACGTGCGACTCGCCGATGGTCCGATCGTTCGACGCGCGGCTCGATCGACGGATCTCTCTTATACTGCACAGTTAAAGACCCGAGACGAATTTTGGAAATCCAATCGAAAAGGGTGTACAACCGAGGGCTCGGCAAGAAGTAGTAACAGCCACGTCTGACCGTAAGAAGCGCGACGTCGAGAAACGGCAGACGAGTAAAAGTGTGCAATCAATCGGGGAGAGACGTGGAAAAAGCCCTCGGGAGAGCTGCCCTCGTAAAAAGTCGTTTCCCATCCGATCGCCCTGGCCTGGGATGAGCTTTTAAGGGGAGCACCATAAAAGTCAAAGGGTTGCCCTCTCTCCGGCAAATTAATAGAATCTTTTATGGGCAGGTGCAGTAGAGTGCCCCCGGAGGAGTGGCGGGAGAGGAAGGGCTGGGAAAAAGTAGGCCAATATCGAGCGGAGCTTTCAGAGGCTCTCGGGTCGGGGAAAAATCAGCGCCGCGCGAGATGAGAGAGCAGCTGCAAGCTCCAGACGACTCTGTGTTGAAACTCAAGGAAGAATTTAAGAACAAGCTCGACCCCAGACGGGGCGGGTGGACATAAAGTTTTACGGGGCTGCTGCTGAAAAAAGAAGCGGACAACTATAGGGGGGGGGAGAGGAGACCATCTGTACCAGAAAAGAATAATGTCATATCTCCACGAGCTGGTCATATAATTAAGCACAGACATTGGGGGGTATATATAGACACGTATGCTCATTCGACTCGTCACACAGGAAGGAAATTCGTCTCCCGCTTCTTCTTCAACTCATGTGTGTCTGTCTCCTCGTGCCCCCATCCCCCCGATTTTCCTCCCTCTCCCGCGTAATATATACACACGTACACCTTTCTCTCTTCCTCCGCTATCTCCGTCGCGCTCTCTCGCATAGCTACCGTGTCCTAGCCCCTCTCTCTTTCTAGCCTACCTAGTCGGATGATCGCGCGCCGTGTGCCTCGGAATTACCGCGTATACACATGCGGATGAAATCATGTCTCGGCTCAGTCGGGATCTACGACTCGTGCGGCGCGCACGACCGGACCCATCAAGCTATTCGGTGATCACCCCGTGCGCCACAGCCCCCGGCATCCACGCGTGAAACTTGTCCGGCGATTTTTAAGCCTCGTTCTCGATTTGCGATCTTCACCGGCAAGAGCATTAACGACACAACAATACGGATAAGCGAGGAAAAAGGAAACGAGCAGAAGGAAAGAAAAAAATAAAAAATAAAAAGAGAGGAAGGAGGGAGCAGAGAGGCTGCACAGTAGCAGCCGGGAGGAAAGAGGGAGCCCGACGACACGCGGCCGCGCGCGAGCGAGACGGCGAGCTGTCTGCGAGCTGTCTGCCCTCGTGTTTACCCTGGCCCCGGGCTGTATACCGAGAGAGAGAGAGAGAGAGAGAGAGAGCGAGCGAGTGAGTAAGAGTTGTCGGAGGTGGAGGAGGAGGAGAACGCACCGCGAGAGAGAGAGAGAGAGGCGGTGAACCTATGTGCTCCCGGCACAGCTCGCGCGCGCGCAGCCCACTCCGGTTTTTGCCCGCCGAACTTGTTAAAAGAGCACGCGAGCCGCCGAGGGACCAGAGACGAGCGATGACTTTTTCGCGCGGTAGATCGTGATGTAGGTGTCAATACCTGCGCACCGCTCTCCGGACACACACGCACGCTTTTTCTTTCTTTCCTTTGGACTGTGCTCGCTCGCTTGATATAGATCAACCCCGCTGCTCGAACACCAGGGACGGAAACTTAGGGGGATGAACAGCATGTCGATTACGTGATCGTCGCGCGCCAGCGCCATCCGATCGTTCGTCCGAGGTGTGCTCGAGAGACCGCACGGATATACACACACGCATACCCCCCATTGGTTCATTTGCCGAGACAACGATAGTCGACGAGATGATCCGTCAGGTTCTGGTGTGCCTGGTGATGGCCGGTGTCTGGCAGTGCGTGGTGTCGCACCACCTGCGCCACCACAGCAGTGCCGAGCTCAAGGACGCGGGAGCAAGCCCGACCAGCCATGAGCAGGGTGCACCAAAGAGCCGGAGGAGCTTGCAGGCCGGCCATCGGTACGAGCGCGAGAGTGCGAGGTCGGGCCACGGCCACCGCAAGCTCGACAAGATGATGAACAAGGCGATACTCCAGATAATCCTGGGCGACCTGCGCCCGGCGGACATGCTCCTACTCAAGGCCCTCAATTACACGGCCGAGGACGTGATGACCATCAGGGAGCACGAGCTCAGCAGGCTCAAGGAGGACGAGGAGTTGCACGCCCGGGACAGGAGGCTCCGCGAGCAGGAGGTCCTCAGCTCCAAGTACCAAGCGGCGGCTATGCTGCGCCGCGGTAACAATGGCCCGCGGCAGCGCAAGAGGCCGGCGAGCAGCGTCGAGGCTTACAATCGCCAGGCCGTCTACGACTACGAGAGCGGGGCTACTGTGGCCGGGGTCTTGAAACCACCCCACGTGGTATTTAAGATAGGCCACGACGACTCGGAGGTGGACGAGGGACGCAGAGTGAGGCCCGTTCACAGGACTGTTACCGCCGGGCCCAGTCAAGAGGAAGCAGGGGCCAATCTCGAGGAGTTCAATAGACAGGCGGCGGCTGACTACGAGAACCTAGTGCCCAACAACAGCCGGTCGGAGGAGACCAGCAGGGGTCCGCAGCAGCGCAACGCGACCGAGGAGGTGGTGTCGGGGAGCACGGAGCCGACGGGTGGCAAGAGGGCCAGCGAGTACGAGGGCCTTGAGTGGGTCGGCGGCGACATATACAGGGTCAAGCCCGAGGCGATGGAGGCGCTGTTCAATTACGAGGACGAGCCGGAGGAGCGAGGCTCGTACTCGGGTGGTAGGCTCGACAAGGAGTTGGCCAACGACACGTTCGAGTACCAGAACGATGCCGATGAATCGGGTGGGAACAACGCCAATTTCACTGCGGACGACTCGCGGAACCTCACCTCCTACCAGCGGCTCGCTTTGGCCCAGCGGAGAGAGTAAGTTTGGATGATTTAATTTTTTTCATTGCGGTTTTGTCAAAGAGATTAGAGAAAGCTTTTATTGGTCGAGGGGTTGAAAAATCAGAATTTAAGTTGTCGGTAGTTTGAATGCGAAAAAAATCATGATTGGGCCAAAATAGATAAACTTTGTTTTCGCTTTCTAGCGCAAACTCAACGTCGACGGTCGATAGGTAAGATCATAGTGGTTGAAGTTACGTGTGTGCATGAAAAATAACGTGTGATTTGATTGAAACTAACAACGACTTTGCTGAGCGCGAAATCCGCGAGTCGCGTCCCAACTTCGTAAAAATACCAGAAGCCGCTCTCGACGAGTGTGGGCAATATTTAACTTCTTTTCAGCCAACTTCTTTCCTCCCCCCGGCGAGTGCTGTTGCAACGCGAGCATAGCTATCGGGGACTATCCTTTCGTGGGAGAGGGAAGCTTGTGACTTCTAAATTTAGGAAGGAAGACGTCGGAGTATGAGCGAATTCAGCGATAGAGGGGTACCACGCGAGAGAGGAGTGAGGGATTTCCCAAAAAAGCACAAGAAAGAGTGACGAAAAAACATCGGAAGAGGAGCGATAATGTTTTAGCGGGTGCGGTCGAAAAACAGATTTCGCAAATTAGGCTCGTGACGGGTTATTTTGATGTTTGGGGCTTTCGGATGAGTGTTTTGGGAAAGCTTTGTTGATTCATTTGGGGAATCGCAATTTAATTTTTTTTTTTTTACCACGCGTTTTCAATGCTCTGTAGCTCTGAGGCTTGTTCACGGGGTCGAGATTTAAAATTTTAAATTACGTCTTGTTTGACATGCTTTATTTGGAGGCTGTTTTTTCATGACTGACACGTGGCTTGTTAAAATAAGCCTGAAACTTTGGATTACGCGTTTATATTGGGAAAATTGACAAAAAGAGGTTTAACCAAAGGGCGTCCGATTTGTACACGGCTGATGCATGAATTCTCATGTGCGCAGTATTGAAATTGTCGATTCGAACCGCATCTAAAAATAGACTTTCAATCATAGTGCACGAGTGAAATAGTACAGGATTAGGTGGAAAAAAAAAATTGGTAAGAGTTTAATTGCAAGTAGTTGCGGGCAAGTCCGAGACGATGGGACAGGATGTGTACGGGGAAAGAAGAAGAACAAGATAGACAAGAGGAACAATAAAGAAAGAAAGAAAGAAGGAGGCGTGTACGCGATTAATAGATGTATACCGCTACCGGACGCCTTTTTTCGCAGGCCATTCCTTTTTTCCCTTTGCCGGTATTAATGCATAGCTATACTACTTCACCACCCGCTGTCGCTGCCGGTGCTGTGACTTCTTTTATTTTAACAGTCTAGACACCAATGGCCGAAGGCAATCGGCCAAGAGCTGATGATCCTTTTGAGACTGTGTACGCCATCGGTTGGCATTTAGATTGAAAAAAAAAAAAAAAAAACATTGAAAATCAAAAGCATACTCTATTCATCACATTTTTTTCACGTCTAGTAATATTTATCTTTCCTAAAATAATGTTCAATATAGTTTTTTGAGTTCTTCGTGGATTCTAGTATAGTATTACAAAATATGACTATAAAAATAATGATTAAATTGGTAAATTTTTATTTGATGATTCATGTTTCAAAAAAAAATAGAATAAAAATTTATTTTGTTGAAAATAAGATGGATAAATAACAATGAAATGAATTTCTGAAGCTTGCAGTACGGGTATTTTAAACTATTTAAAAAATACCCAATATTACAATTATTTTATTGAAGTATCAAAGAAAAATAAATAAATAAAACTTCAAACACAACACAATTGCACTTAATCGAATTATCGGAGATAAAATATTAACCACATTAATGAGCCACATTTATTAAAATAAAAATTACCAAATACTTTCATGCGGTTTAAAAATATTTGAAAATTATTTGTTGATAATATAGTTTGATCAAATCAAATTATTTGAAACAAACTATCAAGTAAACTATAAACAAACAACAAATTACCAAACAAATTATGTGAAATAAGTATATTAAGAAATGCTAATTTATATCAAATAGTTTGAACAAATAAAAACTTACATGATAATATTTTGAAAATAATGTTATAATATATTAATTTGTTTCAAATACTGTTGTATTGTATAAAAGTATTAGTTGATAGAGTGTCAACCAAAAATTTCGATATACTGTTTAGAATACTCTAACAAAAAATTTGCTTTTAGCTTTTGCATTGCAATACAGCAAATGTCACATTTTCGTAAATAAGTAAATTGAATACAAAACTTCTTCCCCCTTTTTTGTATTGGTCAGTCAGGATTGAATATTTTCTTTGAAAACTCAATTATTTCCAACCAGTCTTCTAAACAACGTGAAAAATCAGGTGAAAAATTGTACGAGAATTTCAATTGAACTCACGTACGTATGATAAAAACAAATAAATAAATGGAGCAATGTTGCTATCCTCCAAAAAATGCACGTGCAAACTGCCGCGCATTTACGCTTATACACGTATGGACAAAGTTATGCAACGAGCGTGCTGAAATTTTATTTAGCTGACCTTGCCAAATCACGTCACGTTATACGAGTCGACGACGCCAAGAGAGTGCATTTGCCAGCGATTAGGAGTATTTCCGACTCACCAGCGGCTTCTATTACGAAGCCCAGCAGCAAAATGGATTATTCGATCGTGTGAAAGAACAAGAGAATAGTCATATTTCATCATTTTCTTACATAACAATCAACAACACAAATAAAGACGAAGAGCCATAAAAAGCAAAAAGTAATTCTTGCTTCGAACCTAAAAATAGAAACGCAACAGTTTACTCCAGACAGCAATAAAGCTCTGCTCCAAATCGCACGCAAGCGCTCACTCGCCAGGAAATATTGAAAAGCCGCCTAGTCTAGCGCTACGATCATCTCTCGTAAAAACGAAGCGACAAACAGCGAGAGCACAAAATCCTCGTCACGAGTGGGCTCACGTACGCGTCGACTGGTCGCTTTTTTTATTTATTTTTTTTATTATTATTTTTTTTAGCATATATATATATATATATATATATAAGCTCGCAGGGAGAGCTTGTTAGGCTCTCTCCTTGGTTTCCCAGACGGCAAGCAGACGGGGCACGTAGTGTGTATACGTATGCACCGAGACGTCGTAAAACGCGTGACTTGGACGCGGCCAGATTAACGTGCATGCCACGAGAAACGTCGTAAAGTCTCTCTCACTTGAAAAACGCCGGACGAAAAAATACGTCTCCCCTCGCTCCTTGCCGATGCTCTTTCTTTCTCCGTGCTCTGTTTCTGCTTATCTCCTGGGCGCACTTTTTCTCCCTCCTCTGTCTTTTGCTCTTTCTCTTTTCTTATCCTCTCCTTTCGCCAATTGTCTTTCTCTCGGCTCTCTCGTTTCTCCTTATCCTCTGCACATAATGTACCCCTCGCTCTCTACCTGTCAATCTTCTATTCCGGTTGTCCTCTTTCTATCATTTTTTTGTAGACGCACCAGAGAACGGGATAGAAAAAAAATTACCCGAGCGGAGAGTAATGTCGACTTGGCCTCCTCCTCCCTTCCGTACCTTTCTAATTGCCACGCTTTTTTCCCTCCTCATCGGCATAATCTTTCATTTTTATGCTCGCGCCAAAACAAGTAATGGCCGAGTCTTACCCTGCGCCTATTTATTACTATATACTTTCTCCTTTCGGAGTCTCTGCATCGTCCGCGTCGTCGTATGCATTATGCATCCCCCCTTTTTTTTTACTTTTGCAATAACAGCGACTACTCTGCAAGAAGTGCGGGGCTGAAACTGCGATGCCGAAGATTCTGATTTGTTTTCAAGCGTTTCCTTCTCTTCGTCTCTCTCCTCTTCCTTCTCCCATTTATCTTTAACTTTCTTTCTTTTTTTTTTTTTTTTTTTTTTTTCATACTGTTTTTAGCGTCTGCAAAGTAAAATTCGAGCATCGAGACTGAAACAGAGCAGGCAGTAAATATTCCATCACATCTGCTTTAACTTGTCCTACTAAAACAGTTCTTTGACAATCTGAACGAAAATTCTCTTTTATTTTCCATTCGTCGGAGGTAATGAAAAGTCTCTTTACTAACGGCACGTATGATTTTCGAGTTGAAGAATTAAAAAACAACATTTTTTGTCAAATAGAAGATAGTCAGAAGATTAATTTTATTTGAAATTACAATTTTTTTGCCTTACAACTTTGTTACATAATTTAAATTTTTTACCAAGTTCACTTTTTGTTTCAATTTTATGTTTTTTGGCATCTTAATCATATACGAAGTACAGCTTAAACAAAAACGTTGGATTCAAAAAAAGTTTCATTCAAATTAGAAATAGACACTGTTTTCAAATACAAGATCAATAACTCAATGGTTAAGATCAAAACGAATTTTATACAGCTTTTAAAGAACCGACAATTTTCTCTCGAAACAAATCTTATTTTTTGAATAGTTATGTTTTTTTTTTTCTCTTAAAATTTGTAAGACGATAATCACAAGAATAATTATGTAATTTTGATATGGTAAGATTTTCACTTTGGATGAAACTTTATAAATTGTACGTCTTAACATATTAGAATTAAAACTAAGTTAAGCTTTGAATTTAAGTCCAAGTTGTGACAATTTTATAGACAATCGAAGTATTCCCTTACAAATATTCAAAACAGTGGAACATATGCCAGCTGATCTGTTTGGACGACACTCGACTTGTGTTAAAAATTTTTTTTATTGCCGAAAACATAATTCCGTACAAACTTAAATTATAATTTATACAAAAATCGTATTCCATTGTCAAAGAAATTAGTTCGTGCAGGCATTCATATACATTTCTAATAAAAATATTCTAAAGAACAGATGACTAATTTTCTTGCGGTTTAATAACAACAATTTCAATTTTTTTCATTTCTCTCGGCGTATAATTTGAGAAAGTTTCGACCAAGATTGTCTCTTCCACCTTCCGGAGTTAGAAAAAGAAAAAAAATTTTTTTTTAAATCTCGTGTATAGCATCAGCAACAACACCACAGCTACCGCAATCTGCCATTATTTATATTCTCCCTCGTCCCATCCTCCTCGGGCGTGGACAAACAAACACGGACAGACCTCTCCCGGGTTCTTCTCATTCCCTCTGCCGATCGCGCGCTTCCTCCTCATCCTGTCTATGTTTACCATCAAAAGCTCCTTTGTGCAAACAGAAGCAACAAAACCAGACGACGAACGACATACACACACGCGTCAAGTCGGATGGATTCTTCCACGTTCGATCTCTTCCTATATATTATATATTTATGTCTGTCCGTCCGCGCGATCGTCTGCCCATTGACACGCGTCATGACCAAGATGACGCGGTCAGACAACGGTGCAGGTACAGGCCAAATTGAAATTCGGCCCACATGTCCCGGTGATATTTTAACCGAACTAGCGTTGAAGTCCCCTGTTCGCGTTTTGCGCGCCGAGGTTTCCGAGATCGGTACATGCATATACCGATCTCCAGTCCATGTTACTAGCGTCCCAATGAAAAAAGCCATACAGACGTTAAAATCATTGAAATCCTGCCGTAGAAGGAATCAAACAAACAAACAGAGATGGAGAGAAGGGAGAGGACGAGCGCATTGGCATTCGCCTCAAGGCGCAACGTAACTCAGAGGGTGCGAGCAAAAAGGAGGAACCAGGTCTCGTCGCGCTCTTTCTTTCTCCTAAAATCGTAAATATACCCCCCCCCCCCCCCCGATGAAACGGGCCAACAGCACCCGACCTCTAACACTTTGCGTCAACTGAATCAAAAGAAGAGGCGGTAAAAGATGGGGGGGGGGGNGAAATTCCATAAAAAACGATTGAATTTTGCTTTATTTTGTGAGGGGGGGGGGGGGGAGAAAAAGTCGCGACACCGCACTAAATCTCAAATCGATCCTCCGCGTCGTCTGCCGATTTCTCGGTGCCCCAGTCGCGCGCGCGAGTGAGTGAACCTCTCGAGACACGCTTGTATATACATACAGCACGTACACTCACGCGGCGAGACGGACGGTCAATGGTCGCGGCAAAGAGGCTGGAGGGAAATCGGATTTACGCGCGCAATACATACATACGACAAGGTGGTTGTATATGTTTGTATGTAAACAGACGTGCACACAAACCACGTATATAAAAGCCTCCTCGAAGAGGCGAAAAAAGGCGCGCCGGCGGTCTACGGGGGATATGGGAAGAAAGAGAGAGCCCCGCGACGCGTAATCTCTCCTCTCCGGTCTAGTCGGTGTCTAGCCGACGACGGATGATTCATGCAAAGTGCCGCCTCGCTCCCTCCCTCTCGGGTGTGCAGCAACAGGTACCTCAGCCGTGTGTACACGGACACGCACGCGCGTATAAATATATTTGCAGCCATACTTACACACGTATACCTACGTACACACTCGCTTGCGAGGGAACGCCCGATTCGTGTTGGTTGGTTTTTTATCACCTTTTCCTTGCATAACTCTACCCGGAGAGGAGGAATGCGTTTTTGTGCTCGACAGGAGAAACAAAATATTGTCGAATTTGTTGCGTTCGCCGAATCGTTTGGTTATACTCATAAAAGACGAGAGACTACATTTTACTAACAATAAAACAAGAGTGCATAAGTATAGCATGCAATTGTGTTTTTTGTGCGTAAGAAATCCTAACTATACATTAACTCAACTGACATTGTGTGAAATCGATTGAAAATAAATCAACATGCTTGTACAAATGTAAAAAAAAATCTCTTTTATCAGACAGGGACAGAAGGCGATTGAGGACATAAAGCTGCGCGTTCTGGCAATGACGGGAAGGTTTAATCTTTCGTCGAGCAGCAACCAAGTCCAGCAGAGGCTCACGATGTTCACTCCCACTTGTAAGTACCAACGGAAAAAAAAAAACGAATCCATTACGCGAAACGGTATAAGCAATTATGCATATGTATGTTATATCTATGCCGAAGACGAAAAATAAATGAATTTGTAGGTCAGGTACCACGCAACACGGATGCAGAAGCCTGGTCCGATCCCTACTCGATGAACATGCACTTTCAGCTGAACCTGACCTCCGGCGAGCACGTGCTGGCCGCGAAGCTGCGGCTCTTTAAGCTGCCCCAAGACAGAGCCACCTCGCCCACGAGCAGCACCACTGGCACCGGTACTTACGAGCCCGAGGAGATGGAGGAGGACGAAAAGAAGATCAGGATATCGGTTTACTTCTACACAAAATCGCTCAAAAAGCACCGGGGTAATTATTGCACTAGCCTTCGTTACTCCGCTGCCGAGACGCAGCTCAAGCAATGCTCTCAGTGAAGCCTTAGTATTACGCGTACTCGCGTTATGCGTGCACGAAACAATTTGAATACGCGTAATTACCGATGATGAGGCCGTCCTCAACGAATCCATTATTTAATACAGATATCTGGGAGGATAAAGAACGTATCATCTCAAAAATGTATTTTAAAAACGAATATCGCCTCTTTGATTTTCGAGATGATACGTTCTCCTACTGGGGTATTATATTGTGTAATCGTAATCTACTCGATGAAAATTATTAAAAAAAAATTTTTTTTTAAATCTCATCGAAATAACGCTTGCAGCGAAAAAACGCCTCATGGACTCGATCGTGACGCCACTGACGTCGCAAGGCGGACATTTGGCGCTGGACGTGAGGCAGGGCTTACGCTTCTGGAGGCCTCCAGGTGGTAATCAACAGCAACAGCAAACCCACGGCCACGCGAGCGGCGGCAATCACGGCCTAGTGGTCCAAGTCGAGGACCAGGACGGCCGGCCGCTCAAACCCGCGCTCTACATCCAGGAGCCATCCTGTCAGTCGGTGACCGAGAGTGGGACACCCACGCTCGCGGGGGATGAGAAGGCATGTGAGTGTGTGCACTAACAACACTAACTCGGCTCGGTTTTACTTTGTTTGATTGTTTGTTTTTGTTTTGTTGTGTTTTGTCTCTACATATGATGTCAACGCCCTCTTCTTTGTCTCAGATTGCACTTCTTTCTGTTTTGACACGGTAATAGTTATTTACGTAACAAGATCGGAAAAGACAATTTTTCGCAATAAGTGTGAGGAAAATAGGAAGTATGTTGATGATTCGCAAGGAAGGTTGTTCGGGGTCCAGGGGCATTGCAAAAATATCAATTGATCGTTCAAAAAAAAAAAAAAAAAGTAATTTTATGCCTCAAATATAAAAGCAGAAATTGGATGAAATTGAAATTTTATTTTAAAAAATAAACTTTGAATTACTTAAACAAAAAAACTTTCAAAGAATTTTACAACGGTAACAAATTTTGTCAAGGGACTCCACACCAACACAACAGGATTGTGGTTCCCAATGAAATGTTCTCAAATTATAATACGATATAGTTTAATAGAATTAACAAAAAAAGTCATTAAGAAGGAATTTTAGTTGAGAATTGAGACTTACACGAGGTAGGGTTGTGATAGTTGTACACACACGGTATCTTGATTCGTTCCCCGTGAGATATCTGGTATGTAAAAAACTGTTTTCCGGCGTGCGGAAAAACCTTTGCCACACACCTTTTCCACACACTGTGTGGTAGAAACCTTTTCCAAATACTTTTTCCGCACACCGTGCGGAAAATCTCTGCTACACTTTTTCCGCTTACTATGCGGGAAAATCGATTTTTCATACTAAAAATAGTGCGAAAAACACCTATTTTCCGCACACTATTGCAAAATAGTAGTTTTCCTACGAGTTTGAAAAGTCTTTGTTTGCGAACCGAGAGGTTTGCGGCCCAAGCCGAAGGCGAGGTCCGTAAAGAGGTTCGTAAAGGAGACTTTTCGAACGAGTTCCGGAAAACTGCTTTTTCGCCCGAGGAAGTACCAGCCTCCCAAAACCACCCGAGGGCGGTAAAAATAAAAATTTCCCAGCAATACATACGTACAAGCAAGAATAAAAAGGGAAGCTATTTATACGAAAGCGTATACCTTACGAGCTGAATGAAATCGCTCGATCAGAGATGCAAGAGGAGTAGAGAGGAGAGGCGTGCATCCATGTGCAAGCACACGTAACACGATCTTAACGCAACGCTTGAGAAAAGTGTGATCCCCTCACCGCTTTCAGTGGATAAGTTTATGCACTGAAAAATTCGTCTAGTCAACGTAATTCAAAGCGGATAAATGCGAGCGCCCTCCCAGTTTGTTTTCTATTTCTCGCATGTCTTTTGTGTGATGCATCGAGGTGAAGGAAGACCCGAAGCAGCGTCTTGTTTTTTTTTTTTTTTTTTTTTTTTTTTTTTTTTTTTTTTTTTTTTTTTTTTTTTTTNTCACTTTTTATTTATTATACATTTTTTATTGACAAAATAAAACTTTTATTTCATTTGTTTTTTTTATTTCTTTTTTAATATTTTATTAGTGATGCATCAAAGACTCACCGGTAACTGTTGTTTTTGTTGTTTGCAGATCAGTTTGTCCCTGCCCTTTTCGTCCGAGCCTGTACTCGTTACGTTCGTCTCGTAAGCGGTAAAGTTGAGATGTTCGTCCAATGCAGGTCGTCCCAGAGGCATTGACGCTGCATCAACTCAAGTGGTATACTTCCTGCTGTAGAAGAAATTCCGTATTGATTAGTGGTTGAAGGATAGGCACATTATTTTTGAAAAAATCTAGTTCCTCATTTATTATCATTTTTATTCATAAATCATGTACTGAATTAATGATAGTTTTCGTCACGTGAGCGGCATCATCGCCGGGGCTTTATTTGGGCCCGAGGGGCTGTTAGATGGCGCTTTTGTGGTGAACGCTATTTTTCCTACCGAAGGTGCAACAAACGTCGGTAGGTCACGAAAAACTCCCGAAGTGGAAAAAATATTTTTTGTCATTCTTTCATGGGTGAGAGAAATTTTTTCTGCGAAAAAAACTACCTTTCAACATAAATAATTATTTTTCCCTACAAAGCGTTTCTCAACTACTTTTTTTTCCACTTTCTAGTTTAAAATTGTTCTTGATTTGAAAATAATTGAGAATCGTAAGCATCATTAATAATTGCACATATTTAAAAGTGCCAACTAAATTATTCTTTGTGATAAGAAATAAAATGGCAAGCAATATAACAGTATCAGTCAGCTCGAAAAAAAAAGTATGATCTTGGTTTTACCTTTAAGATGCGGTAAGTCACTTAAATTAAAAAGTATATATATATATATATATATATAACAACGAGCGACTTATTATGTTGCTTTGATACAGACTGTTTAATATAATCTGATAAGTTGTAGATCTAAGATATTCTATAATCGTTGAGATCAAAAAGGTGAACAAAGGTTACAAAGAAAAGTTTCTTTGAAAAATCCATTTTGTAATTTTTTTGTGTTTTCGTCTAGTGTATGCTTGTATAGCACAGTATAAAACCACGAAGACAAGGGTCCGACAATTTTGTACATAATATGTCTGTATTGAATTCTCGTAAACTTTATTCAATCATATCATTCATTTCTCCCATTTTCATAAAAGTGCATCGTTCTATACTTTACGATATAAATTATTACATTTAAATACGTAGGCTCCAAGCTCAATGACTGATATAGCCAAATGTAGATAGTAAGCCGCGTAAGAGACGGTTATATATATATGACATTTTGCAACAAAGCTTCCTAAGGAATGCAGAAATTCGTTTAAAGAACGCAAAAATCGCTACTTAATTGAGTAGTTAGACTATTATTAAATTGTATGAAAGCAATGTGATTTATTACACATTGTGTATTGTAAATAATGTATATTTCAAATCATTTTTCTGTATTAGATTTAAGGTAATAAATGTACTCAAAGATAATTACTAACTTTTTTTTTCTACGAGCCCAGAATTATTTAAAATCTATGCATCAATATAAATATTTGTGTGTATGTATTTTTAAATTTGTTTTTATCTATTTTTTTTTTTTTTTTTCAAGTTTCCGAGTAGTCAGAAATTTCGTATGGTTATTATTTAAAATCACATAACAAACATTATTACAATGTATTTTTATTCATAATATAGTGTAGTAAAGTCCTTTTCGAAAAATAATTGATAAATACATTTTACCTAATTTTAGCTTTGATGATTGTACCATAGGAGTTTTTTCTATAACATTGACAGAAATCTGTAATTTCTAAAAATACTTAAGATTTTGTAATATTACAAAAAAAATTTTTTTACAGCTTCATTGAAATTAAATTATTGTAAATGTTAGTACAAAATATTGAGTTCATAAATTAATGAAACCTTAATAATTAAAAAATAATGATAACAGACTTTCGAACGGTCATACCTATACCTTAAATTATGCATTTTAAAATATTTTAAGGATACTTGGTACTTTTAGAGTTACTGCTGCATATAGAACTTAATATGAAATTGAGGTAAAATAAATAAAAATCTTCGTAACTAATTAATATTCAAAAATTGCTTTCTGTTTATAAAATCAACTTTTAATGCGGCTCAATTATTTCACAGAATAATTTATGAAAAAGTTATTTTCATTATTAACTGTTACGTAGGGAAGATATTGGTAAGGAGGTGCTTCGCGAGAATGATCAACGCTTATTACTTCAAGGACCTTTATTCAAAATACCGTAATCATAGGCAAGATAGCGCGTGTGTTCCCTACAAAGGCTCGTCGTGTACTCCCCGAATAGACTCTCTCCTTGCTCTCACTTCCCTTCCCTTGGCCCTAGGGCCCCTCGTTATGAGGTTTGAGGAGAGGAAGCATAGAGTCTCACCTATACTATTGTACGTTACATAACTTAAATATAATATTTTTATAGTAAATTAATCAATTAGTTTGTATCGCTGCAAATAGTTTTATTTGGATTTTATGAAAAACTAAATATACACCTTAATGACAATTTTTGTAATAATGGGGATAATTTTTAAGTATAGATTTTCGTTACATTTCTATTACATTATATGTATATTTTCATTATATGACGATAAAAAATCAATTAAATAAAAATAAAATCCTGATTAACGTGGTTAATTATCGTTAATAAGATATGCAGAAAATTTGTAAAAAACGATTATGAGGGTGATTGGTGATAAGAAAAAGTTAAAAATAGCAGATTGAAAAACCGAGGGGCTGAAAAACTATTTGTAAAAAATGAGCACCAGGCTATTTTTAGAAGTGTTTTCAATTTTTATAAGTATCTGATGAAAGTAATGGGCCGACCATCGAAGACAGATAACAATAAATACAATCCCTGTCTTACCAACATATTATCAAACATATATATATAATATGTAGTCGGGAATTAGCTATTGCAGCGCATTCTAGCGACTGATGTTGAAGTCCTATAGTCATTTTTCATTGGTAACGTCACTTTTTATTTATTATACATACAGTTGAAAAAATGAGCTTTCATTTCTAATTAGTCCAATGCAAATTACTTTTTTCTTGGTTGACTATTGTTGACTTCTGTATATAGATTCAATTTTTAAATCATGTATGCCATGAATGGAGGTAACAATATTAAAATAAATAATATTGTTAGAAGCTACACTATAATTTGGTATATTTTTTTTAATAGCTAACGCTTACTACATTTTTATTCCCCAATTCTATTGTTCTAGATTATTTGAAGAGATTTTTTGTAAATCTTTAAGTTTTTTCTTCCACATGTTTGTCTTGTGTTAAAACTATTACTATGTACTTTATGTAAGAGATAACATTCTTCTCCCAGTTGTTTTCTTTTATGAAGATATATCGAAAAAGGTAGCACACCACGTCAAACCGTAGTTTGATTTTCATGCTTTTTCTTTAATACCAAAACTACAAAAATTCTCTGCTAGAAAAAAAAAAAATTAAGAAATCTTCCCTTACCTACACGGTATATCTTACAGTTTGGTAAAGCAGTTTCAAAGATTTTTTAATTTTTTTAAGTGGAGCAGCAATCACGAGCTGAGCCAAGACGTCTTTGTCACTCGAGTGTTCAAAAGCCCCGCTCTCCTGGCAGTGGTACTCAGATGAGCAGGCGCGTCCAGGCTATACGTACACGCGCAAGTACAGCTTCGACGCTGATTATAGAGTCAAGTGAGTCAAGTCATCTCTTATTCCCTCTCGTAGGTGCTGCTCATTACTGAAAAACGGTCAATTTTTTTTTTTTTTTTCAACAATTTTCGGTATGAAAAATATCATATGGGGATAGAGGTGGATTCGTCGTTTTGAGGGTGTGTAGCTGTAACACCCGGCAGTTTAGCCGGGAGAGTTGTTTATGTGTGTGTATGCATGAGTTTGTGACAAAGGACCGAGTTATAGATTTACTGTACAAAGACAAAAAAAATATGAACGAAAGCGATTTGCACCTGGCCAAGGCAATAGCCGAGATGGACACGGATGACGTGCCGAAGAAGACGGCGATCTCACGAATGCACGACAAACAGCAGACCTTCAGGTACGATTTTTCTTTTTTTTTTTTTTTTTTCTTCCAACACGTTTTTTTTTAGTGACATTCAAGCCTTTGTTATGCACGAGTCGTATCGACTGCTGTACTGTCAAGTCGTGCAGTAAATATGTGTATTATATACATGTTTCATTCTCTGTGCTGTGACGTATATTTTTACATGTAGAATTATGCGATTGTCACGTCATGGCCGTAAACGGAAAAATCTATATTAACGAGTAAAATCTGTCATAACAGAGACGTTGACATTCGCTATAATATCGTACAAAACAGTCGTATACTACTAGCAGCCAAAACTTCTGCGAGTGGCACGGGTTTTTCCCGTATATTGTACGGAAAAAATTGTGCCAGCACGAGTTGCACAGTTTTCCCTTGCTAATCTGAATTTTCGGCTATTATAAGCATGTAATTTTCTCTACACATCGATACATGGTGCAGGTTTAAACTGTCATTATATTTTACCGTGATATACTATTTAAAGATTTAATCGAGATGTTTTATTTAATGATCATTGTTTGTGTATACACAAGAACTTTTTACATCACTAGATCGAGATGTTTCCACTAATGCGAATAATAAAAAAAAATGTATGCTGGGTAAATTAGACAAAAGGAGTTTTAATTAAAATACTTTAAGCGAATGATAGGATTTGTTTTACAGGAGCTCGAGGTTCAGTTTACAATGTTTATAAAAAAAATGTGTACCTTTGTAAAATAAAATTGCAAATTCGTAAACTTATCTAGTATTCAATAAACAGAAAGAAGTTGAAGATGAAGTCGTTACTTGGAGCCTAATTTTTACTACTAAAATAAATTAACAAAGTATTTTGATATAAAATACGTCGATCTTATATCTCATATTATAAGCATGAATGTAAGTATATGAATCGAGCGTAGGCGGGGAAAGAACGTTACAAAGTATCTGCTAACCCCTACCAGGTGCGATGGTGGTGTAATGGTCAGCATAGTTGCCTTCCAAGCAGTTGATCCGGGTTCGATTCCCGGCCATCGCACATTTTGCTGTTTGTAGTTCTAAAACTGCAATCTCACAATATTTTTAGCAATATTATAACATCATTTTATGATTAGAACGTATTTTGATGCAAAAAGTTGTAAGCATCATTGATCTGAATTAAAACTTTTGATGGAGATTACATCATATAATTTATATTTATTCATTATTACCTGCTATTTTATTGGACACATTTTCAAATATTTTTAAACATGTTTAAAATCTCATACGGGTTCTCATAAGTTGTGATCGTAGTTATTTTAAATGCTAATTAATTTTACTCAAAGTATACGAAAACATTTTTGACGTTTGTATCAATCGCAGAATGTTCCAAATAGTTTTATTACAAATATTTAGCTGTACTAGAAATTTGGGTTAAGGTTTTGTGAATACATTTATGTATGAAAGCAAAATAATTGAGAAA